CTTGCTCCAAGCCTGCCATACAGCGTATGCCCTTTCAGGCAGGGACGCCACCGCCTGGGTCTTTGGTTCTCGTCCTGGTCTGGCCGTTTTCCCATGTACTGCTTCTGTTCTGTGACTGCTCTAGGCATTCCTCCTACTACAAACTACTCTATGGTTATATGGAAGGGTTCTATAAATCAGCACTAAATGTGTCAATCCAGCTACAATACCTATATGATTATATAGAAAATTATATAGAACTAAGTATGCTAGATATATTAGTATGATTACATAAGATAGATATATGTAAGCAGTAAGTTATACTTCAGGCACTAATTCTATAAACTAATATATGATTATATACGTAAAGGATTAAACAAAGGAAATAGCTAAGTAATAGCACTATAGACTAAGATATTCTTCAGGGACTAATTGTGCCTGGGGTCTGGACAGTTCTCCTTCCTCAGTGCCCACGGTGGTTGTTACCCACAACCCTCAGCTGGGCTAGGGGAAGATGCTGGCACTGTGAGCCAGCTCCAGCCTCGGACCCCAAGGAGCAGGACAGACCTGAGGCCCAGGCCCACCAAATGCTGCCAAAGCCTTGGAAGTCTAGTCCAGACTCCCAGAAGAGACCAGCTTGGTGCAGCCCGGGCTTTGAGAGAGGGGTGGGGCTGTTCCCAAGCCCAGAGAGATTCTGTGCTGAGAAGAGCACCCAGGGACTGCTAGCTGGCTAAGGGGGTGGAAGGTACACCCAGCACGCCTGGCCCTTGTGCTCCAAGTAGGGCAGTAGCTCCAGTTTCCTAACTTGGCTCAAGCAAGGGAGCTTCCTGTCACCCCCTGTGCCTGCTGAGTCTTTCAGGATCAAAACCTTAGGGCCTAGAAGGGCTTTGTGTTTCCTTCCGGGTCACTGGAGGTTTAGTTTCCTATTGCCACTATTGAAAGAGGCAGGAGGCAGAAAAATATCTAGGCAGACAGGGGCAGGTCCCTGGTGAAACCTCACCTCCAAACCAAAGACAGTTTAAAGCCTGAAAGCCAAGCTACAAGTCAAATCCACAGAACAGATTAAGAACCTGTCATCCCATTTGGCATGCTTTCCCCTGATTGATCCCCACCCTTCACCTATTTTACATATACCTACCGTTCCCTAATTGGTTTTTTACACTGTCATGCCCAGCTTTGAGTGGTGCCTTTGTTTTAACCTTTATTGCATACTCACAAGCCAATCAGCATGCACTCCCCATTCTGAGTCCATTAAAGCCCTGGACCCACTGCCCAGTTTGGGGTGAAGGACCACTGTCATGTACCCTCTTTGCTGAGAGCTGTTCCATCACTCAACAAAATATTCTCTGTCTACAAGTCATGGAAGCTTGAAAAGAAAAGAAAAAAGAAAAAAATTCTCTGTCCACCTTAACCTTTGATTGTCAGCACATCCTCATTCTTCTTGGACTTGGGACAAGAGCTTGGGACTCACCAAGTGAGGCTACAAAGAAAGCTACAACAGTGGTGGGGCTGAGCCAGCTCCGGAGCTACAGGACAGAGCAGGCAATGGGGCTGACATCTGCCTAGACAGGGGAATCACTGGCTGGGAGTCTCTGGCTGGCAGAATGACCAAGAAAAATCCTATGTCACTATCACAAATTACCACAAACTGTGGGTTTAGAACAACATCCATATGTTTGCTTACAGTTCTGGAGGTCAGAAGTTTGAAATCAGTTTCACTGGGTGGAAATGAGTGTTCACAGGGCTGTGCTCCCTCCAGAGGCTCTTGGGGAAGCTGCTCCCCACCTTTCCCAGTTTCTCACGCTGTCTTCCTTGCACCCCTTAGCCTGTGGCTCCTTCCTCCTTCAAAGGCAGTAGAGCATCAGCAAATCTTTCTCTGCTGAGGGCTTCACTCTCAGTCAAGGAGGGCAGGCTAGGCTGGGCGCCATGGCTCACACCTATAATCTGAGCATTTGGGGAGGCCAAGGTAGGAGGATCACTTGAGTTCAGGAGTTTGAGACCAGCCTGGGCAAGATGGCGAAACCCTGTCTCTACAAAAATGTAGGGTCCAGCCCTACAGGGTTCTGTGAGCCACTCCTGGCTGGGGCGGAGATGAGAAATTATAGAAATAAAAGACACAAGACACAGAGATAGAGAAAAGAGAGTTTGGGCCCAGGGGTCCACTGCTACCCAAATCTTGGAGACCAGCAGTGACCCCGAATGCCGAGTTGCAAATCTGGGGGCAGGGTAGGTAGGGTGTGGCCTTGGTGGTCGGTGACTGGGGGCAGGGTAGATAGGACATGGCAGTGATAGGGTCAAGTACATCACGTGCCATTCATGTAGGGGCTTAGGAATTTCTGGCACCCGAAGTGAGGTAAGGAGCATAATGCATCAGCGCCTTTCCCACACTTATCAAGAAAGAACTAAAATATTAACATTTATATTACTATTACTGATTATCTTCTCTAAGACAAAAGGAACCAGGTGCAGAAGTAGAACATAAGAGTAGACATGGAACATGACCACTGAAGCACAGCATCACATACAGACAGTTAAGCCCCCGCCTGTCTTCGGGCCTACCTGACAGTGGTCAGGCCTTGCCACAAGAGCTTGGAGAAGCGGAGTTTTCTCCTAACTTCCCCAGGAAGGAGACGTCTCGGCCATTTTGGATATTTCCTTCCCTAGCCAGCTAAACAGCAGGCGCTTTCACAGCACTGGCGCTGCCGCACAGCCGAGGCGCCCTCCAGCAGCCCTTATGTGGGAGTGACAGAGCTTAGATTCCTGGTAATCAGGTCCCCGGAACGTGGACCTGATTCTCAGCTGGACCCCTGGGCAGGATCATAGCTCTGGATTCAACCCAGAGGTGACACTTGCTGGCTGGGTGACTATGGGTAGCCACTGTCTCCTAGCTGGGAAGTAGGAAGTGGGATGACAGTAGTAGCTGGGCTGATTATCATGAAGCCTTCCTTGATGAGCAGTCCAAGAAGCATTCTGTCCACGGACCTCCACCCTCCACTACAGTCCCCACGGGGGGGGCAGCAAACCTTTCCTTTATTGAGAATGTGACACAGTCCTGGCTGGGTTTGAGGAGAGCTTGAACTAAGGGCAGCCTCACTCCTGTCCTAGTTGAGGGGCTCTCCCTAAAATGAACTATTCCTACTTCTCTTTATTAAAAAAAAAAAAAAATTAAATTTGGCTAGGCGGAGTGGTTCACGCCTGTAACCCCAGCACTTTTGGAGGCCAAGGTGGGCAGATCACCTGAGGTCAGGAGTTCAAGACCAGCCTGGCCAATATGGGGAAACTTCATCTCTACTAAAAATACAAAAATTAGCAGGGCATGATGGCATGCACCTGTACTCCCAGCTACTCGGGAGGCTGAGGCAGAAGAATCGCTTGAACACAGGAGGCGGAGGTTGCAGTGAGCCGAGATCGTGCCATTGCACTCCAGCCAGGCAACATTGTGAGACTCCATCTCAAAAAAAGGTAGGTCTGCTCCAGGCCAAACGTTTATTTTGTTGTTGTTGTTGTTATTTTTTTGAGATGAAGTCTCGCTCTGTCATCCAGGCTGCAGTGCAGTGGCATGATCTCCGCTCATTGCAACTTCTGCCTCCAGTTCAAGTGATTCTCCTGCCTCAGCCTCCCAAGTAGCTGGGACTACAGGCATGCATCACCATGCCTAATTAAACGTTTTCTTTTTTTTTTTTCTTTCCTTTTTAAATTTTAATTTATTTTGTTTGTTTGTTTCTTTTTTAAAGACGAGGTTTCACCATGTTGGTCAGGCTGGTCTTGAACTCCCAACCTCAGGTGATCTGCCTGCCTTGGCCCCCAAAGTGCTTGGATTACAGGTGTGAGCCACCACGCCCAGCCAAAAGTTTTCTTTTTAATTAATTATTATTTTTAAAGAGAGGGTCTCACTGTGTTGTTCAGGCTGGAGTGCAGTGGCGTAGTCATAGCTCACTGCAGCCTTGAACTCTTGTGCCCAAGTGATCCTCCTGCCTTAGCCTCCCAAGCAGCTGCAACTAAGGTGCATGCCACCAGGTCTGACTAATTTTTTTTGTACTTTCTGTAGAGATGGGGGCTGAATGGGTGGGGGCTGGGGGTCAGGTGACTCATTATGTTTCCCAGGCTGTTCTCCGACCCCTAGGCTTAAGCAATCCTCCCACCTTGGCCTCCCAAAGCGCTGGGATTACAGGCGGGAGCCACCCTGCCCAGCTAATGTTCCTGTTTCTCTTGTCCAGAGCTGGAGTCCAGCCTGATTCCCACCCACAGGTTGTAACCCACGAGCCCTAAGAGAAGTGCTGAAGACCAGAAAGGCCCAAATCCGGGGGTAGGGGTGTTTGGTCGTCTCCACCGGGGCGCAGGCAGAGAGGCGAGGAGAGAGACTCTTCCTGACTTAGTGGAATTTCCCGAATCCACAGGAGGCTTGGAAACCCCGTTTCCAAAGCTGGGCCGGGTGGCTTACACTTGTAATCCCAGCACTTTGGGAGGCCGAGGCGGGTAGACGGCTCCAGCTCAGGAGCTCGAGACCAGCCTGGGCAACATGGCGAAACCCCTGTCTCCAAAAAATACAATAGTCTGCGTGGGGCACCCGCCTGTAGTCCCGGCTACTCGGAAGGCTGAGGGAGGATCGCTTGAGGCTGGGAGGCAGAGGTTGCAGTGAGCCGAGATCACCCCACTGCATTCCAGCCTGGAAGACAGAGCCAGACCCTATCTCAAAAAATAACAAGGAAAGCCCGCTCGCGATTTTGCCCACGCGGAGGGGCTGAAGCAGCAGATGGGCTTGGGGATCTTCCGTTCCTCCTCCAGGACCTTCCCACTCCTGGGCTTTTACAGGGGCAGCCCCGGGGTGGCCCGCCCAGCGCCCAGGAGAGGGGCGGGGCCGGAGGCGGAGTGGGCGGAGTTCGACTTGAGGCAGGTAGACGCGGGGCTCCGGCGGTGGGGGTGGAGTCTGGTGGTGGGCGCGGCCACAACCACGGGGCGGGGGCGGAGTTCCGGCTGGGGGCGGGGCGGGGCGGAGCCGGAGCTGCGGGACTCCGGCTTCAGGGCGGGGCCCTGGCCCCTGGGCGGAGATCCGCTGCCGCGTTCCACCCTTCCGGCCCGGTGTTCTATCCACCGCCTCCACCTTCCATCCGGCGCCGGCTTTCGGCACGACGGTCGCCGCGTTCCATCGTCGCGCGGCCCTTCGGGCACCCGAGCCCGCAATGTCGGGCCCCAACGGGGACCTGGGGATGCCGGTGGAGGCGGGAGCGGAAGGCGAGGATGACGGCTTCGGGGAAGCAGGTGACCCGAGGGGGCTGCTAGAGCAACCTTGCTTTTTCAGGGCTGCCCTCCTGTGAAGGGGAACTGGGATGGGGTCTTGGAAGGGACCAAAGAATCCACCCCATTGCGCCTCAAGTGGGTCCGGAGTTGTAGGTGCTGGCTCGGATGCAGGGCGAGCACCCGCGAGACCCGTGACAGCTGCGGGTCACCAGCCCTGTTTTACAGATGGGGAAACTGAGGCAGCTTCGGGGACACTCGCCCTTGTGGGCCTTGCTCCAGCCACTTTTTTCAGTCCCGGGGGAGACCGAGGCACCTGAGGGAGACGGGGTTGACCGGCTTGACAGCGAAGGGGCCGGACCGGGCGTGGGGTAGGGGTGCGGGGGCGCCGCTCTGCTGAGTCAGCACCCCCAGCCACTTGGTTTTGCGGGTGTAGTAGCCTCACACCCTTGCCAAATGTGAGGAGCAGCCTTTTGCGTGCAGGGGTGGGGTGTGGAGAGAACCATCAGCTCTCTTCTAACCTTCTTCAGCCTCTGTTTCCCCATCTATAAAATAGGAATAATGATTCGTGTCTCCTGCACTGGGATGTGTCAGAATTAAATGCAAAAAATAAACAGAAAATGCTTAGCAGGTTCTAGCATGCAAGAGTTCAGTAAATGGTTACTGTCATTATTCTCTTTAGTAAAGTCAAGATTGGCATATTAACATACCCTGAGGATTTAGTAAATTCGGGGTAAGTATGGCGCATCCTTTTTGTCTGGGGTAACAGCTTTATTGAGCTATACAACTTACCCATTTATATTGTACAGTTCAGTGGGCTTTTGTGTATTCCCAGGGTTGTTAATCCATCACCACTATAGTTCTAGGTAAGTTTGCATTGGCCAGTGCTGGTGGGAGCATCAGGAAGAGCCTCCCGGGAGGTCACATTGAGTGGATATTGGCAGACAGGACTTAGAACAGTGGGAAGGAGGGTGTCCCAGGCAGAAGAAAAGGCTTGGAACTGGGAAAATACCCTTGACACAGATAAAGCCTGGCCTGGAGTGGTGTGGGGGAAACTGCCTCCCTCATCCCTCCTCCAGCCTGTATCCCAGGACACAGAATTCAAAATATTGATAATAGTGACCATCCACTAAGTACTTGCTGTGGCCAGATCTGAACTTTTTTTTTTTTTTCTGAGACAGAGTCTTGCTCTGTTGCCCAGGCTGGAGTACAGTGGCATGATCTCCACTCACTGCAACCTACGCCTTTTGGGTTCAAGCAATTCTCATGCTTTAGCCTCCCAAGTAGCTGGGGATACAGGCACCTGCCACTACACCTGGCTAATTTTTATGTTGTTGTTTTTTTTTTTTCTGTAGAGACGGCGTTTTGCCATGTTGGCCAGGCTGGTCTTGAACTCCTGACCTCAGGCGATCCACCTGCTCAGCTTCCCAAAGTGCTGGGATTACAGGCATGAGCCACTGTGCTGGCCACTGTCTGAACCCTTGATATGTTTGAATCCTCACGACCACACTGTTATTTTCCCTTTTTTCCAGAAAGGTGCAACAACTTGCTGGGGTAAAGCAGAGCTGGAACTCAAACCCAAGTGCCTCTAACCCCCAAGTCCAGTCCTAAGTTTCGGCTCTGTTACCAACCTGGAGGATCCTGGGCAAGTTCCTTCCTTCTGAAGCCTCAGTTTCCCTAGCTATATCATGAGGGGGTTGGACTTTAAGATGCAGCCAATTTCCCAGGACTCTGTCCTCTGTGAGGGTGGCCGGCTCTGGCGGTGCCCTTCCCCAGAATGCAGGCACATGTGCACCCATAACCCAGATACACCCCTCCAGCCCTGGCCTCTGCCAGCCTCCACCAGCTGCTTCTTCCTTGGGCTCAGGCTGGCAGCCGAGTGTATCTGAGTCACGGGCTGGCTCAGAACTGAGCCGCGCAGTGGGCACAGGCCCAGACCTTGAGTCCTCAGGGACACTGTGTTGCTGAAAGAGGCAGCTCTGGAGTGGCCGTGTACGGGAGGAAGTGATGGTTTCTAGTGGAGATCAGGGAAGACTTCTTGGAGGAGGCATTTGGAGCTGGTCCTTGAAGGGCTGTTGTGGTTGAGGCATTCTAGGTTGCAGGGATAGCTGAGCAATGGCAGAGAGGCTGGAAAGTCAGAGGCTCCATTCATTCACTCACTCAGTCAATCAACAGATGCTTATTGCAACACTGAGAGCAGCAGGGAGCCAGCAGCGAACAGGACTGTTCACCTCCCATGGGGAAACATAACAGCACTCAGATAAGCACAGCGGTCAATCCTGGAGGGAGAGCCGTGGAGGGCTGAGGAGGGCTAGGGGCTCAGCATGGAGGCCTGATCCAGTCTGGAGCATTGGATGGGCTCCCAGTGGTGACTTCCATACTGAGACTTGAAGGATGAGTGGGACTCATCCAGGAGGAGAGGAGGGAAGGAAGATGGGAGGACTCAGCACATTCCAGGCAGAGACAGCAGCATGTTCAAAGGGCCTGAAGTAGGTAAAGGCAGGTGTGAGAGAGGAAAGGAAGAGGCAGGGAGGCAGGGCTAGCAGGGAGGCAGGGCTAGGAGACTCCACTGGGTGTTTTATCCTGAGGGAGCCAGAAGGGCTGGAGAACAGGGCCCACCTGGGGACAGAGGCCTTGATTCCCCAACTCAGGAATGTGGGCTCTAGCCACTAAGCAGCTGCTGCAGGAAGTGCAGAGACCTGGCACCTGGCAGGACTTCCCAGGCAGGACACCAGCTCGCCACCCTGTGACCACCCTAACCCCAGAAAAAAGGATGCAGTACTACAGTGTCATTCATTCAAAGTGATTCCTCTTTTGGTATCCACCCATTTTCCAGATGGTGACACTGAGGCTTAGGAAGGAGTAGGGACTTGCACAAAGCCCTCTGGGAAGCAGGCTGGGAAACGGTGGAGGGAGGGTGTCCATTAGCCCCAAGGAGACACAGGATGTGGGCTCTGTCTTTCACCTTCCTACCAGAATACGCCGCCATCAACTCCATGCTGGACCAGATCAACTCCTGTCTGGACCACCTGGAGGAGAAGAACGACCACCTCCACGCCCGCCTCCAGGAGCTGCTGGAGTCCAACCGGCAGACACGCCTGGAGTTCCAGCAGCAACTCGGGGAGGACCCCAGCGATGCCAGCCCCTAGACTCCAAGAGCCCCCAACCGGGCCCCCACCCTGCCTCCCTGGGTTAAGCTCTGGCCTGGGCACTCACCCCCTGGCTTAGACACCTTCTCAAGGGCTGGCCTTCAGGGTCCCTGGGTGGGTCTGCCTGCCTGGTCCACTCTTCTGGCCATTCCCCCTGGCCTATCTGGGCCAGCCCCCACTGCCTGGCATTCCCTCCTGGGGCCAAGAGTGGGCCTGCAACCCACCCACTTGCCTGCCCACCCAACTCCTGGGCACTCCCACTCTGCCCAGGCCTTGAGTGTCCAAATTAAACGGATCTCCCACACTGCTGTGCCTCTGTCCTCTGTATCTCAGGAAGAGAAGCCCAGCAGCTGCTGGAGGCGAACAGGGCAGTCTGGGTGCTCAGGTGTTGATCATGCACTGGCGGCTCAGAGGCCAGGTGGTGGGGGGCTGGGGTTCTTGGCTGCATGTACTTCTGGACACAGAAAGTGCAGGTGAGGACAAGGCTTCTTTCCTACCTGGTACATTCCTGGCCAGCAACTGCTTCCTAGCCCAGAAGCTGGGTTGAGACTGTTGGACATGCTGTGTGACCTTGTGTGATGTTCTCAGTGTCTCTGGGTACTAGGGCCTTTCACCAAGACAACCAATGCCAAGACATGCTATGCAGCCTCAGCACTGCCCTCCCACTCTTGGCCTGTCTCCCCAGTAACAGGGTTGGTCTGCTTGTTTATCTTTGTGGGTCTTTCTAATGAGGAAACAGAAGTAAAGGGCCAACTCAGCCTGGGCCCCATCCACCCATGATTCATCTTAGGGTCGCCTGACCAGGAGGGTGGGGTGCCTGTTAGTAAACCAAGAAGAAAACCAGAGGGCCTGAGCAGCAAGGACCCCCCTCCTGCACGCCAAAGGGTGCAGCTAGATCGACAGGCCAGCACGGGTCGGAGAGCTCAGGCCCAGGTCAAATCCCAGCCACTTACCAACCCTGTGGCCTTCAGCAAGTCACTTGACCTTGCTAGGCCTCCAGCCAAAGGAACTTCCCCAGCTTATTAAGGTTATTAAGAGGGAAACAGCCAGGCACAGTGGCTCACACTTATAATCCCTGCAGTTTGGAAGGCAAAGGTGGGTGGATTGCTCGAGCCCAAGAATTCAATACCAGCCTGGGCAACATGCCGAAATCCCATCTCTACCAAAAACAAGAAAAATTAGCTGGGCGTGGTGGCGTATGCTTGTGGTCCCAGCTACTCAGGAAGCTGAGGTGGGAGGACGGCTTCAGCCTGGGAGGCAGAGGTTGCAGTGAGCCAAGATTGGCACCACCGTACTGCAGAGTTTGGGCAACAGAGCCAGACACTGCTTCAAAAAATAAAAAATTGGCCAGGTGCGGTGGCTCATGCCTGTAATCCCAGGACTTTGGGAAGCTAGGGCGGGCGGATCATTTAAGGTCAGGAGTTTGAGACCAGCCTGGCCAACACGGCAAAACCCTATCTCTACTAAAAATGCAAAAAATTAGTCAAGTGTGGTGGCGTGGATCTATAATCCCAGCTACTTGGGAGGCTGAGGTAGGAGAATCACTTTAACCTGGGAGGTGGAGGTTGCAGTGAGCTGAGATTGTGAAATTACACTCCACCCTGAGAGACACGGCAAGCCTCGGTCTCAAAAAATTTAAATTTACATTAAAAATTTTTTTTTCTTTTTTTTTTGAGATAGAGTTGCCCAGGCTGGAGTGCAATGGCACGATCTCAGCTCACTGCAACCTCTGTCTCCCAGGTTGAAGTGATTCTCCTGCCTCACTGCCTCAGCCTCCCAAGTAGCTGGGATTATAGGTGTGTGTCACCACGCCTGGCTAATTTTTGTATTTTTAGTAGAGATGGGCTTTCTCCATTTTGTCAGGCTAGTCTCAAACTCCTGACCTCAGGTGATCTGCCTACCTTAGCCTCCCAAAGTCCTGGGATTACAGGCATGAGCTACCACCCCTGGCCCCAAAATTAAACACTTTAAAAGAGGGAAACCGAAGCTCAGACAGGTGAAGTGCTTTGTGAACCAGAGTCCCTGGTTCCCAGGGAGCCTGTCTGGCCTTCCAGTTCTGCCCCCACCTGGCCCAGAGAGGTTGGGTGCTGGCTGAGAGCTGGCTGGGGTGGCCCCCTTCCCCTATCCAACCAGACAGAAGTACTGGTGGGGACTGCACAGCCAAACTACCTTGTTTTATTGGATTTTGAGTAAAAACAACCTTGTCAAAGTTTCCAGGCAGACTCCTAAAAAGCATTAGCAGATCTGGACCTAGGCAGGCCAGGCACAGGGAGGTCCCTCTATCAGGTTTTGAGGCGGGTCGAGCGCCGTGGTAGTGGGGGCTGGGAGGATCGAGCCGTCACCTTGCTGGGTGTTTTGTCGTGGGTGCTGGACTGGGAGGGTGGGCGGCCGCCGGAGGTGAACAGGGCTGTCAAAGCGTTCCGGGCGTTGATTGCGCACCGGCGGCTCACAGGTCGGGTGGTGGGGCTGGGGTTCTTGGCCGCCTTGTATTTCTAGATACAGAAAATGCAGGTAAGTTCAGGGTCTCCTCCCTATGTGGTATGCTCCTGACCAGCAGCAACTTCCCCAGCTCTGGCTGAGACAGTATTAGTGTGCTGTGTGACCCTATGTGATGCACTTGGCCTCTCTGGGCCAAGGCTCTGGCGCTAACAGCCTGGCCCTCAGCATTCCCTGGACCAATAAGAGCCCAACCGCACCCCAGCTCTGATTCTCTCCCTGCTGGTGTAGGGGTGGTCCCTGGAGGTTGAGGCCCAGCACAAGAGGGAGTGACCACTAGCCACCCGGATCAGCTTGGATGAGACTGAGTCCATGGGCAGGGAGGACGGGGCAGGATGTCCGGCTCACCTGCAGGTTCTCAAAGTGGGCCAAGGACTTGCAGTGGGAGAGCTGAGCCCCTGAGTTGCTGTGATAGAACTTGTGGCAGACACGGCAGACGTAGCCCATCACAGGCACCAGGAAGTCCACACCTGTGGGAGGAGGGTCTGCACTTGCATCCCCGTACCAGCGAGGCGTCCCTCCCTCTCTAGGGGCCTGTATGCTCCCCCACCCTCTAGGTAGGAGCAGAACAGAAGGCTTCCCAGCCAGAATGCCACAGGTGGCATCTGGGGGGTCACCTGGAGGCCAGGACCAAGGGCTGAAGCTTCTGCAGGTGGGCTTGGGGCTGGGGCCTTACCATAGGCAGTATTGGGGCTGTAGGTCTCTGAGCCCTTCCACTCCTCTATGGATATATCTCTGGACCTCACCTGAAAACATGCAAACATGAACCTCAGATCTGGCTTCCCCTAACACCTCCCAGACACAGGTGAGGGAACTGGAGCCCACCAATGCCCTTGGACACACAAAATCCCCTTGATTTCCAGGAGGTAGTGGGTGTTCTCTGAGCGTTTGTACATGCTGATCCTTCCTCCCAGAGTGCTCTTCCCAATCTATACTTTCTAGCCCCCTCCTCCAGGAAGCCCTCCTGCTCCTACAGGGGCCATAATCCACACCAGCTGTGTCCAAGACATGTGTCATCTGACTGAATCTTCATTACAACCCTCCATGGCTACACCCATTTTACTAAGAAGAAACTGAGGCGCAGGGACATTAACTCACTTGTCTAGGGTTGCACAGCTGGTTTGTGGAGGAGCTGGGCAGGGAACCCTGTAGGTCTAAGCCATAATTCATACTATTTTTTTTTTTTTGAGACGGGCTCTGTTGCCCAGGCTGGAGTGCAGTGGCACGATCTCAGTTCACTGCAACCTCTGCCTCCCAGGTTCAAGCGATTCTTCTGCCTCAGCCTCCCGAGTAGCTAGATTACAGGCACATGCCGCCATGCCCAGCTAATTTTTGTATTTTCAGTAGAGACGAGGTTTCACTATATTGGCCAGGCTGGTCTCGAACTCCTGATCTCATGATCCACCCGCCTCAGCCTCCCAAAGTGTGGGGATTACAGGCGTGAGCCACCGCACCCGGCCCATAGTTCACACTCTTAACCATGGGCCCTCTTATAGCTCTCTGAGGTCCTATCCAATACTGCAGTGATCTTGGTCCTAGGGGCTGGATTTCAGGGGATCAGAGATTCTGCATGTCGCCTGCTGGATGTGAGCCCCTTCCAGATGAGGTCATCTGACTCTGGCCACATCTACCCTACCAGGCCTAGCAGTGCCCTCCACTACTCACCGGGCAAACAAATGTGGCTTCTCAGGACAACCACCCCCGTCTGCTAAGCCCTTCCTAGGACCAAGCCTTGGGCTTCCCTTATAGTTCAAGTTGGGATTGTTACTTGGGATTGTTACTTCTGAGCAGAGGCAACTGAAGCTCAGAGAGGCCAAGTGGCTTGCCAGAGATGATGCCACTACTGAGCAACAAAGTGGGGCCTCATACTACCCTGCCTAGGACTGCAGGCCGCCCCCACTACGATTCCTCCCGGCTCCTCAATGCTCCACTTTGGCTGCCACAGCCCATGAGCAGCCCCTCACCACCCTGGACTGCAGCTGTAACATAAGGATCAGACCTTGGGCCTTATGAGTCCCTGTATCCAGCACCAGGGCCCAACCCGAACACATACTCTGGAAATATCTGTTAAACTGCAAAGAATCTGGCTGGGCAAATCACGCCTGTAATCCCAGCGCTTTGGGAGGCCTAGGTGGGTGGATCACCCAAGGTCAGGAGTTTGAGACCAGACTGGCCAACATGGTGAAACCCTGTCTCTACTAAAAATACAAAAATTAACCAGGCATGGTGGCGGGTGCCTGTGATCCCTACTACTTGGGAGGCTGACACAGGAGAATTGCTTCAACCCAGTAGGCAGAGGTTGCAGTGAGCCAGGATCATGCCATTGCACTCCAGCCTCAGGAGTAGGGTAAGACTCTGTCTTAAAAAAAAAAAAAAAAAAAAAAAAAAAAGGCCGGCTGCAGTGGCTCATGCCTGTAATCCCAGCACTTTGGGAGGCCAAGGTAGGTGAATCACCTTAGGTCAGGAGTTCGAGGCCAGCCTGGCCAACATGGTAAAACCCTGCCTCTACTAAAAATACAAAACTTAGCCAGGGGTGGTGGTAGGCACCTGTGATCCCAGCCATTCAGGAGGCTGAGGCAGGAGAATTGCATGAACCCGGGAGGCAGAGGTTTCAGTGCGCTGAGATTGCGCCATTGCACTCTACCCTGGGCAACAGAGCAAGACTGTCTCACAAACAAATAAACAAAAAATCCACAAAGAATCCAAGCTCCTCAAGCTCCTCATTCATGGGAGACAGGGTAGCTGTGGCATTGGAAATGTGCAGTCTTACTTCCTGCCATACAGTCTGATGAAATTCATCCAGGATAGT